AAACCAAAAGAAACCTAACAGTAAGATAAAATAACATGGGTATACCATGGACACTTGTTCTTTGTGTGGTCTTCATTTGAATTCACCAAAAATTAGAGTTCTTACTAAGTAGCCAGAAAATTATCAGGATTTTATAGCTTCAAAGATAAAAACTCATTGCCATTTACTTTGAAAAAGTAAAAATAAGGTAAAAGTCAACAAACAATTTTCACATAATGACAATTTCATGGTCCAGGTCCTGCAGAAGGCCAGCAGTGGGACATAGTAGATGATCATGAATGCCAAGTGTGGAGCTGCGAACAGAGTGGCTTCCAGGAGAGCGTGACTGGGGCTGCAGGCAACAAGGGTACACTGGGAATGATGCATACATCTTGTGGTTGAGAATGATCAATAATATAGTATTTCTGATAACAACATTTCTTATTTTATCCTCAGGCATTTACTACATCTTCTTTCTTCCCCCCAAAAAGATGATTAAAAACAGTATACTTTCCAATCTGATTGCTGTCAGGAATGCCTTTTTCTTGGAAGTCAGCTTTGGGATCACGGTCAATGCCTTCCTTCTTCTCTTCCACATCCTGTGGTTCTTTCTCAAGACAGGCCCAGGCCCACCAACTTGACCATTGGGCACCTGGCCCTCATCCACCTGGTGATGCTGATCACTGTATGGGTTATAGTCGCAGATGTTTTTGAGTCTCACGACTTATGGGATGACATCACATGTAAAGTTGTCATCTACTTGCACCAGGTGATGTGGGGCCTCTCCCTGAGCACCACCTGCCTGCTGAGTGTCCTCCAGGCCATCACTCTCAGCCCCAGGAGCTCCTGTTTAGCAAAATTCAAGCTCACATCCTCACAGCACAACATGTGTGGATTTCTCCTCCTATGGCTCTTCAATTTGTCCAGTCGTGCTTGTTTCTTGATCTCAACTGTTGCTACTCCGAATGATACATCCCACGGTCTTATGTTTGTCACTCAATCCTGTTCTCTCTGGTCACTGAGCCACATACCCAGGCACACATTTTCTATACTGGGGATCTTCTGGGATGCCTCCTTAATAGGGCTCATGGCCGTCTCAAGTGGGTATATGGTGAACTTCCTGTGCAAGCACAAGAGGCGGTCCCAGCACCTTCACAGCACCAGCCTCTCTCCAAGAGCCTCCCCAGAGCACAGGGCCATCCGCACTGTCCTGCTGCTCATGAGCCTCTTTGTGCTCCTGTACTTGATGGACTGCATTGTGTACTCCTTCTCAGGGATGTGGTGGAATAGCAACCCAGTTCGCCTGTGCATCCAGATGTTGGTGGGCAATGGCTATGCCACCATTGGACCTTTGTTGTTCATCAGTAGTGAAAAGCGAATGATCCAGTTTTTCAAATCCATGTTGGAAAGGCATGTAAGTGTTTAATTTTTCATTAATTGCTGATTCCAAGAAAGTGGAATAGGAACAGGGCAGCCTTTTCTAGGCTAGGAGAAAATGGTTTTTAAAAAAGTGGAGACTGTGCATTCTCATGGGATAGTTGGAGGGACAACTACAGTGTAGATTCTGTGGAAGGAAGAGCGATGCTGTGGATCTCTGTGCAGGCTGCACAGGCACCGCAACAAGCATGCACAAAACAAATGAACCCAATAGCCCTAAGCTGCAGAAAGCACCAGCTCTGGAGATCAAGATGAGATCAGACTGCAGCAGCCCAGGCCACTGTAGTTACAGCTGCAGTGACACAGCAGACTCCACTTGGAGTCCAGTCCACAACCCTGAGGGGAACAGGGTTCTTACTCAACCAGCAGAGAAGAATAGGGGCACATCTGTCTCTTCCCATAACCCTAACAGCAGCGTACATTAACCAGCTGCCAGAGGGTGGGTGCCATTTTGGACCTAAGTAGGTAGCAGCTGCTCCAGGGAGAGGGACAGTAGCCATCTTGTCAGCACAGACAATCACAGCTGTTCCCATGCACTCATCTGGCAACAGATGGGGAGAGGCAGCCTTTACAATGTTAGTCCCAGCTGCAGAAACTCTTGTAAATGCCCAACGTGATTGTGAAACAAGCAGGGTCGTGCTGGTATTCTGCACACATGTGATCCAGGGATTTTACCAGATGAAAAAAAATCCACATTCCCCACTGATGTTGAGCCTGGCTGGAGGACTGACAGGGGCTCAGCACCCATCTATGACGCTGAGGTGTGCTCAGCCTCTCAGTGTATCACAAGCTCCAGAGTCCAGGGCTCAAAGCACCGAGGAAACAGTATGATCAAAGTGTGCATACTGCCGAAAGCAATTTACAGATTCAATGTAACCCCAATCACAATACCAATGACATTCCTCTTAGATCTAGAAAAACCAATGGTAAAATTCATATGAAAACACAAGAGACCCTGGATAGCTAAAGCATATCTTATACAGCAAAAACAAAGCCGGAGGCATCACAATACCAAATTTCGAGACTTACTACAAGGAAGTTATAATTCAAACAGCCTGGTACTAGTTAAAATAAAACAGCTGAATAGACCAATGGAACAGAACAGAAACGCCAGGTATCAATCCAGCATCTACACCCAACTTATATTCAAACAAGGAGCTAAAACTATTCCCTGGACCAAGGACAGTCTCTTCAACAAATCGTGCTGGGAAAACTGGATTTCCACATGCAGAAAAATGAAGCAGGACCTCCACCTTACACAAAAGTCCACTCAAAGTGAATCAAAGACCTAAATCTACAACCTGCTACCATCAAATTACTAGAGAACACTGGAGAAACTCTTAAGTCTTTTCCTATGCCAATGTCCTGATTGGAAAAGACCACAGAGGCAGAAGAAGTCAAAGTCAAAATTAACAAATGAGATTACATCAAACTAAGAAGCTTCTGCACTGCAGAAATACTCAGCAAAGTGAAGAATCAACTGAGAGAATGGGAGAAAATATTTGCCAACATGCCAATTGAAAAAGGATTAATATCCAGAATCTATGAAGAGCTCAAGAAACTCAACTTCAACAACACAACAATCCAGCCAAGAAATGGGTAAAGGTTTAAGTAAGTATTTTTTCAAGAGGCAAAACTCAAATGGCCTAAAGACACATAAAAAATGCTCAGGATCACTAGCCATTAGGGAAATACAAGCACAACGAGATTTTTCACTTCACCCCATTTAAAATGCCTGTCATACAGACATCAACAAACAAATAAGGCTGGCAAGGTTGTGGTGGGAAAGGTAGCCTAATGCACTGCTGGTGAGAATGTAAACTGGTATAGCCAATGTTGAATGACCCAACCATCCCACCCCTGAAAATTTAACCGAATGAAAATAAATCAACGTATTAAAGAGTTCTCTGCACCCCTATGTTCACTGCAGCTCAACCCAGATGTCTACCAAATGAAGACTGGGTAAAGAAATTATGATACATACACACTATGAAATACTACACAGCAGTAAAAAAAAAAAACATGAAATCCTGTCATTTGCAACAAAATGGATAACCTGGAAACTACGATTCTTAGTGAAATAATCCAGTCCCAAAAAGGCAAATACTTTATGATTTCCCTGATCTGGAATAACCAATACAGTACCTAAAATGTCATCTATAGGAGTGAAATTTACACTTGGAGATTGAATAATTTCTTATAGCCCTTTTCTTGACTTTGAGGAACAGTGGTTTTTTCTTCATACTACTTGTTGAAGTCTTTATTAAGTGTATTGTTGACTTGTATGTAGAGAGTTAACGTAAAGTAGATATTTGTAAAAATTAAGAATGAGAATAGGAGAGGGAGAGGGAAGAAGGATAGAAGGAGAGGTGGGAGAGAGGATAGGGTGGAAATTATCATTATTTTCCTGAATCTGTACATGGGAATTACATGAAATCTGGATATCTTAAATATTAAAAATTGTTCATTAATAACTATCATTTCTTTGATGAGTAAATACTTTGACCTCAAAATGATTAATGATTGTCTACAAGATGTGCTCTCCAGGTTCACAGATATTTATGGAGTTCAGGGTTTTTTCTGTCAAACTACTTATGTTGTTGCATGTTGACATGTAAAAAATAGGTAACTTAACCCTACAACAACTATTGGGTAAACCCAAGCATCTAATTCAAATCAGATGCATAATAACTAGAGCTTGTCCTGAGTTACAAACTTTAAGTGACTAAACACATGTGAGTTTTCAAGATGGAGATGTGATCTGAGGATATACACAGGATAGAAGGACAAGAACGGGGCATAGGAAACACTGGGGAATTGACCCAGTCACAGGACCCAGAGCAGGGGTTTGTGGCCCTGTGAGTGACAGAGCTCAAATGCAAAGGAAGGAGGCAAGGGCACAGCTGTTCTCCCATCTGCAGTGTGAGTGAAACAGGAGTTGAGATGATGCATGAACACCATGAATCCAGCACTCACTGACCTGCTTTAGGTTCAAGAAAAAGCACACCTGGGTTTTCATTATCACACCTACCCATTGCACCACTGTCTCATCACTCAATATTCTCATCAGCTATAAAATGACCTCTTTGATCTTTGGCAGAAAGTAGGAGGCAACCACTAAAATGCTCATTTTGTTTACTTTTAAGGAATTTTAGCCCCATAGTCACTGTTGTCATCTGACACATAGAGCTGCTGCAGCATGTGCCGATGCATTGATATCATTCACTTAAAGCTGTGACACCTAACCTGGGATGAGATGTGTAGTTGCGGTAATAGGCCATGTTCTGGTCCTGCAGCCAGCTCTAAGTCTCAAAGTCTGACTAACACAAGTGAGATCTTTAACTACAAGGTAATCAAATAGCTATCAGTAACTAAAGGAATCCTGAGAAGCCTCAAACATTTGTGAATGAATCTGTGCATTTCTAAAAAACACAGCAGTCTAACAATCCCAAGGGAAATCATAGAAATTGTGTAAATGACCTGAAATGGCAAACCTATGTCACAATTTGTGTGATGTCTAAGCACTGCATAGAAGAAAATAGATAATATTAAATGGTATTCCAACAAAGAGCAGTCCCCAGATGGTTATCTGAGCTTCTACTTTCAAAAACTGACAGAGAAATTAAGCCAATCATCTTTACAAGGATGAAAATAAAATTCTGGTTAGAATCAATACATGGGAGAAAGGAATGGATCACCAGTCAGAACTAGGGAGAAGACATCACCATAGAGCAGATGCTACACTTAATCTTAGCCAAAAGGCCAAGAAGTGATAGAGCAGATATCATTATAGTCATTAAAATATAATTAAGGGGCCCCTGTTACGGTGTAACAGATAACGCCACCTCCACCTGTGATGCTGGCATCATATATGGGCACTGGTGCATACCCCAGCTACTTTCACTTCCTACTCAGCTTCCTTCTAATGTCCCTGGGAACATATCGAAACATGGTCCCCATGCTTGGGTCACTGCTACCCGTGTGGGAAACCCAGATGAAGCTCCTGGCTGAAGCCTTCTCCAGCCCTGGCTGTTGTGGCCATCTGGAGAGTGAACCAGCAGATGGAAGAGCTCTTTTTTCCTGTCTCTCCTCTTTAACTTTGCTTTCAAATTAATAAATCTTAATAAGATAATAATGTTCAACAAATTTACTATAAAACAAATGTACTGTAAAAGATCTCTACAATTACAGCTATGAATCACTAGTGACAGGCATTAAAGAGGACATGATGAAATAGAAAGATTTCCCATGTTCAGGGACTGGAAGATTAAGTACCATTAACAAGTCCATATTATATAAACTGACATGCAGACGCAATGCAATCTCCATCAAATTACCAATGACAAATTCCAGAGAACCAGAAAGAAACACTACTGAAGAATCAAAGACACAACAGCAGAAAACAACCTTAATCAGAACAAAGAGATATCACAGTATTGGCTTAAAATATACTGCAAAGCTCTAGTGATTACAATGGCACAACAAAAGACACACAGACCAGTGGAACCAGAGACCTAGAATTAAACATGCACCTACAGCTAATGGACCTTCAACAAGAATGCTATAACATATCTGAAAAAGCAACAGTCTTTTCACTGAGTGGCATTGGGATTTGAGATGTATGTGCAGAAAAAATGTAATCAGGCACTCTCTCTCACCACGTACAAAAATTAACTCAAAATGGATCAAGATCTAAATGCACAGCTGGATACTTTAAAATTACAAGAAAACAGAATGAACAAGAATTTGTGGGTTCAGTCCCCAGAAGTAGAACTGGTAACATAATTACATCAAGCTTAAGACCTCTGCATGGCAAAGCGAATAATCAAGAGTAAAGCGATGGGGCCAGCACTGCAGCATAGTAGGCTAAGCCCCCGCCTGCAGCGTAGACATCCATATGAGCAGCGGTCCATGTCCTGCCCGTTCCCATTATGATCCCTATCTCTTCTCTGTCCTAGGAAAGCAGTGGAAGATGGCCTGCATGCTCGGGCTCCTGCATCTACGTGGGAGACCTGGAGGAAGTTCCTGCCTCATGGCTTTCGATCAGCTTAACACCAGCCACTGCGTCCAGTTGGGGCGTGAGCCAGTGGATGGAAGACCTTTCTCTCTGCCTCTCCCTCTCTAACTCAACCTCTCAAATAAATAAATGAAATCTTTAAAAAAAGAATAAAGGGACAACCAACAGAATTGGATAAGATATTCTCAAGCTATACAGATAGGTGACAAGGGAATAATAATCACAATATCTAAAAACTAAATGGCAAAATAGCTGAAACATCCAACATAAAAACGGGCAAAGGCCTACAGAAACATTTTTCAGGGAAGACATCTAAACATCCAGGTGCATGAAAATGGTCAACTTCACTCATCAACAGGGAAATGAAGATCAAGCCTGCAAGTGAGCCATTGCTCCCTCCTGTCGGGCTGGCTGCCATCACAAAGACAACTGGTAACAGCACTGAGACGGACGTGTGGAAAGGGGGAACCTTGCATACTGTTGGGAAGGTCAGTCTGTCCAGCCACTGGGAAAGCAGCATGGAGGTTCCTGAAAAGCTAAAAACAGAACTACCTTGTGATCCAGCAATCCCTCTACCAGACACAAACCCAAGGGAAATGAAACCACATTGTCAAAGACTTCATACTGTATTCACAATGGCTGAATACATTCCTACCAATAATGTACAAGGGTTTACTTTTTTCTACATCTTCTCCAGAATATGTGTGTGTGTGTGTGTGTGTGTGTACATATATAGTAGACTGCTATTCAGCTATTGAATAAATGAAATCTTATCACTTGCATCAAGATGAATCCAACTGGAGATCATGCTAAACAAAATAAGCCAAACTCAGAAAGACACATTGCATATGATTCCACTTATATCTCTAAAAAACGTTGACCTCATAAAAGTTGAAGGCTAATAATAAGAGGCTGTGGAAAACAGTGTTGAGGGAGGGAGGGAGGGAAAACTGATTAATAGGTACTAATTTATACTTATAAAGGAATTACTGCATTTGGTGTTTTATTGCATGGTAGACTCTCCAGTTAACAGTTCACTGTATACTCTTTCTGGAGAAGGCAAAGAAGTATTTTAAATGCATTCAGTGTAAAGAAGTAATAAACATTTGTCAACTGATCATCATGACCTCAATTTTTTAAGCTTTATTTTTTATTTTAAAGGTAGAGATACAGAAAAATAGGTAGAGACAGAGAACTTTTGTATCAGCTGATTCACTTCCCAAATGTTCACAACAGCCAGGGCTAGGCTGCACTGAAGCCAGGAGTTTCTTCCATGTCTACCACATTAGTACAGGGGCCCAAGGACTTTGGGAAAGCAACAGCAGATGTCCTGACACAATAGTGGGGAGCCAGATTGGAAGCAGAGCAGCCAGGACAGGAACTGGTAACCCATGGGAGATGCCGGCATCACAAGTAGTGACTTTTCCACCTACACCACGATGCCAACCCCATCAACATTATACACCTTATACACATATTGAAACATGGCATGGTATCCCATACGTATGTATGTATGTATCCCATATGTACATATGTAATTGGAAAAATAATTGGGACAGGCATTCGGTGCAGCAGTAAGGATGTCAATTCACACACCTGCATTCCATGCCAGGATACGAGGGTCTGAGTCCTGGCTGTTTCCAATCCCAGATTCCTGCTGATGTGCCCTTGGAAGGCAGTATGAGATGGATTCCTGCTAGCCACATAGGCGACTTGGACTGGCTTAGCTCAGGCACAACGCTGCTGTTGCAGGCATTCAGAGAGTGATCCAGTGGATGGGAGATGTATTTATTTCTATGAAAGGCAGAGAGGCAAACTGAAAAATTAGTCGAGATCAGCCCAAAGGCTATGGGTGACCTGATCTAGCACATTTTCGGTGCTCTAGCTGCCCCTCTATGGAATGCATTTTCAGCCCACAGCTGCCCCTGTGCTGTCTCCTTCGTCTGCTCCATCACAATCTTCTAAACAGAGACCTGCTATCAGCCATGGTGCTCACAGTAAAAACAGTAACTGTTTATACCTGTTTAAACTTTTTTTTTGGACAGGCAGAGTGGACAGTGAGAGAGAGAGACAGAGAGAAAGGTCTTTCTTTTGCTGTTGGTTCACCTTCCAATGGCCGCCGCGCTGCGGCCAGCGCACCGCGCTGATCCGATGGCAGGAGCCAGATACTTATCCTGGTCTCCCATGGGGTGCAGGGCCCAAGTACTTGGGCCATCCTCCACTGCACTCCCGGGCCACAGCAGAGAGCTGGCCTGGAAAAGGGGCAACCAGGACAGAATCTGGTGCCCCGACCGGGACTAGAACCTGGTGTGCCGGCGCCACAAGGCGGAGGATTAGCCCAGTGAGCCGTGGCACCGGCCCCGTTTAAACTTTAAAAGCAGAGAGGAACAAGAAAAATGTATGTCCAACCTTCAGAAGATAGACTTCTCATAACTACTGCTTGTAGAAGGTGCTTGAATGGAAGCCAACTAAGCCGGCTGCCAAGGCTGCTGGATCTGCAGAGGCAGGATGCAGCTTTGCTGCTGGGCACAAGAGGCCACCACACACATGGGCTCCACTGACCACACTGTCTGGTCAGCAGCTGCAGATCCAATGAGCCAACCCTGCTGAGGGGCAGCCAGGGCAGAGCTGGGTGATAGATCCCCCCAGACACTGCCCAAGTGAGCCCAGGGTACGGACGGCCACATGCGTGTTCGCAGCATTAAACCCTCAGCCTCAGAGGTCTGCTTTGTAAAAAATCCAGATGAGTCAGCGTTTTCCTAGGCATTACACATCTGAATAGACAGAAACTTGTTTCTACTTTGTGGTCCCCTTCTAACCAATTCAATACAATTCCTTAATGTGTTGTGTATTGAGATTTAATGCTATAACGAGTACTCAAACAATATATTTCACTTTGTGTTTTTATGGGGGTGCAAACTGTTGAAATCTTTACCTAATGTATACTAAACTGATCCTCTGTAAAAAAAAAAAAAAAAAAAAAAGAAATTGTCAACTCCCAACTTGACTCTCACTGGGATTAAACATGACAATAGGTCTGATCTGATTTCATCATCATTTAAAAAAAATCATCTATTATTTTTCACTTTTTGTTTTTGTGTGAGCAAACTGTTGAAATCCTTACTTAATGTATACTAAGCTGATCTTCTGTATATTAAGATAATCGAAAATGAATCTTGATGTGAATGGAAGGGGAGAGGGAGTGGGAAAGGGGAGGGTAGTGGGTGGGAGGGACGGTATGTGGGGGAAGCCGTTGTAATCCATAAATCGTACTTTGGAAATTTATATTCATTAAATAAAAGTTAAAAAAAACAATTAACACAGAACAGGTTGTCTGACAACTCTAATTTGAGAGAACAGTCACATCTGAACCCTGGGGTTCCCCTGCTGCCAGGGAATCCTGGCTCCCCCCACACTGTTCCACCATCACTCAGTCCTCATTTTCCTTTCTGCAGAGGGCAGATGCATGGGTTTCTTAGTGCATCAGCCACAGAGTGCACAGGTTGCTGCCTTGTGCTGAGGTGTGAGCTCCATCTCTTGAAGGGTCTGGACCATCTCCAGGCAGGGCTGTGTTTGTGTCACACATGAGGACACACCATGGAGCTCTAGAGAATCAAAGTGATAAAATGGGCTCCAACCTTCAGATGCCTCCTGCACTCGTGTCCATAAGGGATTAGTAAATCATACGTAATCTGAGAGTTCGACACACTGAACTAAGCTTGGACATCACAGTGTACAGCTAGTGCCACTCAGAAAC